ATATATTAATTAAACACAACAATTCAGTCTGAAGTGCTTAAATGAAGTGGTTTGTGGCCTGGTCATGTTGTGTTTCATATGGTGTGCATTGTTCTGTAACAAAACATGTTCTTTAGGTTTTTCTTAATTGTGTGTCTTAGAAATCTCTCGATATTAGTTCATTTAGATCTAACCTTATGCCTGTTCTCTATGCATTTCATGAGAGTTTCTCTGGAGTAGACTCTAAAGTCTGACTTCAAGGGTATGTGGTCTGTGAATTTTTAATTTTGGTATAAATTGTGTTCCAAAGTAGCTGAGCCAATTTGCACTCCCATCAGTAGTATATAATGGTAATTTTTCACTGCCCCCCATCACATTTTATATAAACATTTTTTAATCTGAATCGTGCATGATGACATTTTTTTTCTAGCCTTCAAAAAGGTTAGCCTTCACCAAAAATAAATGTATAGATAGATGTCACACACACACAAACACACACACACACACACACACACACACACTCCTCTTTCATAGATGATTTTTCACACTAAAAACTCCTCACATTATAAACTTAGTGTTATTTTAATTGCTTTGTGACAATGAATATTTTAATACAAATTAAATTTCTAATCTTTAATAAGTATCCGAAAGTCCAGTTTCAGTCATGAATTAAAAATGAAAATAAGTTTACTGAATCAAGATTTCAAGACGTCTATACACCACCCCCATGCCTTTCACCCCTTAACATTCTGGACCTTTTTGGATGAGTCCTGGGAATTTGAGCTGGGGATTAGGGTGTTGGACAGTGTGAGGGAAGGTAACTAGAAATTGCTCATTAGACACAGAGTTACAGATCAAAGAAGAGTTCAAACCAGTTATTTCCCTCCGTTCTTGAGAATTTATTACATGAAAAGAGACTACGCTAACCTTTTATGCATTCAATAAATATTTATTTTTCATACTGTGTGGTAGGTACTGGGTGTATGTCTGAGTTAAATAACTATGTGTTCTCGTGAAGTATTCAGTCTAGAGGAAAAGACTCAAGTAGCAAACCTAATTGCCAATCGGAAACAGTAAGATGGAAACAACCAGTGCTGACATTGACAAAAACAGGGATACATCCTTGTGCTAGAGTTTCAAGAAGGCCTTGCTGAGACCTGAAACACTGGAAGATACTCTCCATGCAAAATTAAGGGAGAGCATTCCTAACAGAGGGTGCAGCATTTGTGATCTACCCTAAATTGTGTTAGACTGGGAGACCCTGTGAGAAGGTAGCAGCAGAACCAGTGAGGCAGGGTAGAAGGACATAGGGCAGGTACAGGTGCCAATAGCTTTAAAAAATCTGATAAGAAAAAATGAGAGTGATCCAACCTGCTAGAGTAGAGAAGAGAGGAGGAAAGAAGTCCCCGAGAGCCCCCAACTGCTGTTCCTCACAGCAGCGTCAGACTGAGGAAGGAAGCGCTTAGTAGGGAACAAGCCTCCACAATGATACCCATGGCAGGGAGATGTTACCTACTATTATAAAGACATGAACATGTTCTGAATAAAATATATGTATTTAATTGTATTTAGGGCATACCATGGATCATTAAGAAATCCTATCTAATAAAAGAGAAACATGGTAATTGGTGTACGACTGCTACCCTTCCCATTGGCTAATCAGGGTGATATGCAAATTAACTGCCAGCCAAGATGGCGGCCCGCAGCCAGACAGCTTAAACTGAATATGAGGCTTGCTTGCTTCAGTGATGGAGGACTCCAACGTTCCCCGCCTGCCTTGCCAGC